CTGCTTCACTTCCTAGTTTATAGGGAGGTCAAGAGAGAGCTCCCAGAGCAGTCGCTAGTCAAGGATGCTGACAAGAGGGAGGTAGGCAGCCTTGTCATAAATCCCTTGCAGCTGTTACTCTTCCTCCCAACCCTTTTTATTGGGTGGTGAGGCAGCATTGCCTGATGGTTAGGAACTCAGACTTAGAAGTTAGGTAGACTCAGGCTCAAATTCTACCACTTTCTACCTGCATGATCTCAGGAAAGAGTCTTAGCCTCTCTGAGCCTCAGTTTCCTCACCTTTACAGCTAAGAATAATGGAATTGTTGAAAGGTCCAAATGCAATAAGAATTGTAAAATCCTTCATTCAGTGCTTGTCCAAAAGGGAATATCTAGTACATGGAAGTTGGGTCACACTTGACTTTCCTTTCTGGCAACAATGAGTGTCTCTAGAGCTTTGGGAAGAGTTTTTAAATGACAAAGGATGTTTATTTCCCCCTTGTTGCTACATTCAGAAGATTGCAGGAAGTAATCTTCTATGTGGTTTAGAGAACATGTTTTGCAGTTGTGAGACCCTAGGCAAGTCGGTTATACTTTCTCTAGGCCTCAGTTCCCTTATCTGCAAGATCAGAATTAATTATGGTAATTATTTTTAATTAATAGAGCTGCAATTACTCTAACATAAGTTCATAAAAATAGAAGTGAGTTACTTATACTTGCTATCTTCACTTCCTCATCCTTGATTCTCTCTTGAGACCACTCCAGACTGGGTTTTATCCTCATCACACTCCCTGAAACCTCTCTTGTGCAGCTCACTAACACCTCCATGCCATCAAATCCAATGATAGCTTTTCAATCTTTATTTTTGACACAGCCAATCACTCCCTCCTTTTGTCACTTGAATTTTAGGACACTATTCATTCCTGGTTCTCTTCCTACTGCAAAGGCCCCTCCTTCTCAGTCTCCTTAGGTGACACCTCATTTTCCCATCCTGTATTTGTTGGAGGCCCCAGGGCTCATTCTTTGGCTCTCCTTTTTGACACTCACTCATGGGTGATCTCCTCTAATCCCATGGCTTTGGATCAAGCGTGCACAACAAGGACTCCTAAAATTCTGTCTCCAGTACAGACCTCTCCCCTGAATGCCCACTAATGTAGCAGATGTTGTTGTTACAAACAAAAACAAACCCGTTGCCATCGAGTTGATTCCAACTCATAGCAACCCTATAGGACAGAGTAGAACTCCCCCATAGGGGTTCCAAGGCTATAAATCTTTATGGAGCAGATGTCTTTCTTCCCGCTGAGCAGCTGATGAGTTTAAACTACCCACCTCTCCATCTTCTGGTTAGCATCCAAGCACTTAACCCCTGAACCACCAGGACTCCTTGTTGTTGCACTTAGATACTGTCAAGTCGATTTCAACTCAGCGACCCCATGTGACAGAGTAGAACTGACTCATAGGGTTTCCTGGCTATAATCTTTACAAAAGCAGATTTCTAGGTCTTTCTCCCACGGAGCCACTAGGTGGGTTCAAACTGCTAACGTTTTGGTCAGCAGCCAAGCACTTAACCATTGCTCTACCACGGCTCCTCACTGCCATTAAGTCAGTTCTGACTCATAGTGACCCCTACTTGGGTTTCTGAGGTGGTATCTCTGTGGAAGTAGATTGCATAGTCTTCTTTCCAAGGAGTGGCTGGTGGGTTTGAACCATCAGCCTTCTGGTTAGCAGTCAAACGCTTTAGGCACTATGCCGCCAGAGCTCCTAGATATATATAAGCATCTCAAATAGAACATGCCTAAAATAGGAACTCTCCATTTTGCTCCAATTTCTGTACCCTGACTGCTTCCTCCATGGGCTTCTCCATTTCAGCAAATGGTACCAGCTGTTAGGTGAGAAACTTAAGAGTACTCTTGTTTTTTTCCTCCACATCCCACATCCAGTATATCAATAAGCTGTGCTAAGGGTCTTTCAAAATGCATCCTAAATCTAACTCCTCCTCCTCACTCCCATCAGTACCTCTCTAGCCCAGGCCACTTTATCTCTCATTGACCTCTTGCAGTGGCCCACTAACTGTCTCCTGCTTCCATTCTCATCCAGCTAGGGCCTGTTTGCTACACAGCCACCAGGATAATTTCTTAAAAAGAAAAATCAATCATATCACTCCCCTGCTCAAAACCTTCCAATAGCTTCCCATTACAATCAAAATAAAATTCTACAAGGCCTTGTGTAATTGCACTGTTGCCAATGTCCCCATTCTTACCTCATTCCTTTCCTCTCTGGTTCATTGCTTCAGCCATACCAGGCTAATCCCCACCTCAAGGCTTTTGCATTTAAGGTATCTTCTGGTTGGAACGCTCTAAACTTGCATCTTTGCATGCTTGCTCCTTCATTTCTTTTTTTTCTCTCTCCCTCTTTTTTGTTGGTAATTATTTTATTGTACCTTCATTTCATTTTGCTCAAATATCACCATTTCAAAGAGGCCTCCCTGGTCCTCCTCTCTAAATTATGCACTTTTCCCTCAACTCACCCTAACTTCTTACCATGCTTATTTTCCTACAAGAGTACTTATTTCTACCTAAAATTGTATTTGTGTGCATGTGTATGTATATATCTTTGTTTACTTATTTATTGTCGAAACCCCCCAATAGAACATAAGCTTCATGAGGACATGGACAGTATCTTTTTCACATTTGTATCTCCAGGGCCTAAAAAAAAGTGCTAAGCACATAGTACCTACCACCCACCCACTGCATCTAGTCGATTCCAACTCATAGCAACTCCCACTGGGTCTCCAAAGCTGTAAATCTTTATGGAAGTAGATTGCCTCTTCTTCCTCCCATGGAGAAGCTGGTGAGTTTGAACCACCAACCTTCTGGTTATCAGCCAAATGCCTTACCCACTACATCACCAGAGTTCCTTAGGTGCTCCAAAATATGTTAAGTAAAGGAATAATTACCTACTTCAAAGGAATGATGTAAGAATTAGTTGTTATGATGCTTGGAAAGCACTTACCATGGTACTGGCACAGAGTATGGCCATGATAAATGTTAGCTATTACCATTATGTAAGGGATCCTCAAAGAATTAGGGTGTCCTTACAGTCCCCACAGCTACCACACCTTTCAGATACAGGGCTTCATAATCACTCAGAAATCCTCTGGGCAAGGCCCTGTGGGGCTGGGTGTGTGGGCCTCCAGTTCTGAGGGACTACAGTGCACCCCTTATCAGATGTTTGTGTTTAGACTCTGAAGGGGGCAAATAACTCTAGTTCCTCTGACAACATTTAGGGCTCTGCCACCATTTTATTATGTGAGCAAACATTTGATAGCTGGGAAGCCCATCCCTAATGACAGGTCATAGAATCTTGCTGGCGTCTCCTTATCTGCCCTCCTTATTTGCTCTTCTATTGAAACTTGCAAGGTCACTAGCCATTTTCTCTCTCCTCCACCTAAAATCTGAAAATTGGAAAAAGGCTGATAGTGGGAAGTAAAGAGACTTGAGAGGATGGGGGTGGATAGAGGGAGGAAGAGGAGGCAAAGGGTATCAGAGGACTCTGACCAAGGCCTAAAGAATTTAAAAGACTAAGAAACTTGTCTCTTCAAATGAATTGCAGCTCAGTCTCAGTCTTACGAGGACTCAAGAGAGCATCACAGACTGAGGAACCCTGTGCAGTATGGTATTAAGAATAACAATTTTATCAAGGACCATTCTCTGAATTTCACATGTGTAATTCCACAGCAACTTCCCTGAGGTAGGGGCTCTTATCATCTCATTTTATAGGTCAAGAAACTGAGGCCTGGAAAGAGTATCTTGACCAAGAGTACAAAGCTAGTAGAAGGTTATCAAACTCAGAGCATCATAGAAAGAACACATGCTTGCAGGTCACCCAGAAGTGGGCTGGAATCTCTAGCTCCACAGTCTCCTAGTTCTTGGGCAATTCACTTCTTTGAGCCTTATTTTCCTAATCTATAAAATAGAGATAATGGTAACCTATAATGCTATGGAATGAGGTAATAATGGAATAATAGACCTTTAGTAGCGAGGGGTGTGTGTGTGTGTGTGTGTGTGTGTATGCATTTGAGGTGAAGCCTTGAGAAAATAAGCCAGGAGGCCAAAAGGCAGAATCTTCCCCTTAGATATGAACAAAAGCAAAAGGGGAGGAGGTAGAGGGAAGCAAAAAGGAACTCCCTGGAAGAAAAAAGGAGAATAATGATATTGCATGATAGTTAAAATGAATGCGGCCCAGAGCCCTGGAAGGGGTGGCTGTCCGGGACTGGGTCATCTCTCTGAAGGCTTGTCTGGACTTGCTGGGGTTCCTGCCCTGGCCCCAGGAAGTGTGGCATCAGAGGCCTTTAGCGCTTGGGTCCTTCCCCTGGTCCACTCTTCCTAACAATAACAAACCTGCAGAAGGCACTTGCAACTCTTAAACTTCCTTCCCTGACGGATAGTTTGAGTAAGTGGTAATTTCCTCGTGTTGTTTATGGCTTTGCTGCTCAGAATATGGACCATGGATGAGCAGCGCCAGCACAATCCAGAGCTTATTAGAAACACTGACTTTAAGGCCCTAGTCCAGGCCTGCGGAATACAATCTGCACTTGTATGCACATTAAAGTTTGGGAAGCTGTGGTTTAGGGGATTCCTGTTCTTTGCGGTGTTGAGATCCTCATTTCCATGAGAGGCAAGAGGCAAGACCTTCCCATTCAGCTATCTTTTGAACCACACTTAGCAGTCTCACAGAAAGAGGAGCCCAACTTCAGGATAAAGGGTAGCAAACTAGAACCATCTCAGGGTCCCCAGCAGTTCACTTCTCTCTTCTGAAGTGGCCAAGAAAGCTGGCTCCCAGGTTTCCTAAAGGGAGTCTGCTTTTGGACCAACACTGCAGAACGAAGCATGCAGTGGGTCTGCAGCCATCCACCCTGTCTTTGCTGGTTGATTTGGGTGTTGGCTCCCTTGGAGAGGCCAAACTAATGGCCCATGCCCCTGCTAAATTCACACCACTGAGCTCTCTTTTCTCTCTCTGCAGTGTCCTCTCCAAGCCTGGTGATGCTCACACATCACTTACTCTGTGTGTAGCAACAAGGATCCTATTTTCCACACCATCACCCTCCGGGCAGCCGTCACGGAAAAGCCCAGTGACCTGACAAGCATCTGCGAGAGGTCCCAGCTTACCTGACATCCTGCTGGCGTCTAGGACAATCCACTCTTGGAAGACCCAGCCTGAAGCCCAGCTTCCCTTCTATACAGTATTGTCACAATGCCTCTCCTCAAATCCTGTCTGTTCTAGACATGGGAGACAAGAAACCGTGGAAGAGGAAGAGAGAAAGCTGAAGTATCTACATTATGCTCCTTTGACGAACAAACTCACGAGAAAACTTGAATCTGTTACTGAAATGAGGAGAGGAGGACATGTGCTATTGAACTGAGCCAAACACACTGTAAATATCAGCAAACTCCTTCCCCTTGCCCCTGTTCCCAAATGATCTTGAGATTTCTTTTAAAGAAGTAAATTTGTCTAATGGGTGTAAATTATAAACTACTGTAATTAAGTGCAATTTCCCCTCTACTTCCTCTCCCTTCTGCCCTGTATATAAGACTAAAGTGTTTATTAGTTTTCTTTGTAAAGGTCAGAGTTAAACTTTTAAAAGTGATTCACTCCCCCTCACTTCCCCCACAGAGAAATACGCTGAGTCAGAAATGAAGTCCTTTGCCCCTTCCCTCAGCCCTAGACACACAGACTGACTGTATATTTTGGACTGACTGCCAGGTAACTCCAGTTTCCTGATGGTAAGACACCTCCGGATCCCTGGAGGGGCTGAACATAGGGTCAGAGTACCATCCTAGCTTCCTCTGGGGTTAGGGGTTCAGCCAAGGCATCCCCAAGAAACCCCAGGGTAGGAAAACTGGCTGTTAGGTAGCAAAAGATAAGTTGCCCTTTCAGAAAGCCTCGCATTAAAACAATTTATTTTATCACCACCCAGAGTCTCATATTTCTGTCTCTGACGCTTCTTCTGCCACAGTTCCACCAAGAAGTCCTCGACTCCTCATCTCCTCATTTGCTAGGATCAAAGTGTGCAGTCTGAGAGTAGAGAGGTGGATGACTTTCATTTTCTGTCATGTTCAAGTGTCTTTATGGTGGCCTTACTGCTAATAAAGGCAAAGAAGAGTTTATTCCCCAGTGAGACTCCATGGGTCAGAGCAGGAGCCAACACCCTTTTCTTGCCTGCAACTCACAGGAGTAAAGCAATAGAGCCAATTCTTGGTTAACTTGTGATCACAGGAACAGATAAAAAGCAGGAAGAATGGAAACCCTGTGTATAATTTTTCAACCTCATTTTAAATATTAATTCTAGTTTTCCCTCCCACCCTCCCTTCCTTCTAGAGGGCTGTTAGTTAATAGAAGGGGCTTTTGTAGGTGTTTCCCCCACCCAAGATTTTTCTCTCTGGCAGGGATGCTAATGAATATACATAGTTCTAAAGGTGAATAGGCAAAGGCCTGGAGAATCCCTCAGCAGGATGATCTTGTTGTTGTTGGTGTTATGTGCCGTCGAGTCGGCCCCAACTCATAGCGACCCCTCCTTGGGTTTCCGAGGCAGTATCACTACAGAAGTAGGATTGCCCAACCTTCCTTCCAAGGAGTGGCTGGTGGGTTTGAACCGCCAGCCTTCTGGTTAGCAGTCAAGTGCCTTACGCACTATGCTACCAGAGCTCCCAGGATGATCTTAGCCACAGGTAATTCAGGAGCTCTGGTGGCATAGTGGATAAGGCATTTGGCTGCTAACCAGAAAGTCAATGGTTCAAACTCTCCAGCCACTCCATGGAAGGAAGATGGGGCAATCTACTTCCGTAAAGATTTACAGCCTTGGAAACCCATTGGGAGTTGCTATTAGTCAGAACTGACTCAATGGCAGTGAGTTTAGTTTGGTTTGGTAATTCAGTGCTGATTCCAGGAGTAAAGAGAATGGACCTGTCTTTTTTACTCTCTCCTATTTTGCATAGCAAAGATCCTCATGTCTGTAGTTTTTCACTTCTGGACAGACCACTGCTCAGGGAAAGTGTAATCAAGGGAACCATGCTGACCAGTATGCCACTGTCGGGGAAGATATGAGTCTCATTAAGCCGGGCAGATTTACTGAGTATCTACTAAGTACCCAGGGCAGGGATGGATGGATATGGAAAGGCTGACCTCCATTTGTTCCCGGATCCCCAGGACAATGTAATTTGGCTGAAGTAGCCAAAGCTCATGGTTGAGTTGAGAAGGGCTGGGGACAAGGCCAAGCACCAAGGAGTTTAGAGAAGCCAAGATCTGCTTTCACTAGCCAGGATAACCTGATGGATCACTCCAGCTGCCCATGGGCCCTGTGAGTTCCAGGAAGAGGAAGGAAATAGAGGCCTTAAACTCTAACCTTAATTGAAGGCTTATATCTAGACCTATGTTGTTTCTGGGACAGCAAGTATCTGCATTTGGTAGATTTTAGATCTTGCACTATTGCCATAACTCAATATGGAAAGCCATATTGATAAAAGAACTTACACGGGCAGAGATATAGGTGGAAAGGAGGGAAGGTGTGTGTCTGAGGAAGGACTAGCATCAATCTCTGAAGACACTTCCTGACCCTGGCAACTGGAAGCCCCACAGAGGTTAGCACCTCCCTTCTTCTAAGTTAAACAGGCACCTACCTCTACTAGCTGTAAGAGGGACAAGGGGTCCCACTATGTGTGGGCCCAGGTGGGAAATTTCTACTTTGAAGATTCATGTGCAACTAAAAAACCCCAGATATCTTCTTGCCATCATTTTATAGACCAACATTTTCCAGGGTCTCTCTTTATACCGTGTGCCTAGGCTAATAGACAGGTGGTTTTGTTTTTTACCATAACTTGCTGTTATTTTCAAGGTTGAGCTCTGGGAAAGGCAGATTTATTTTAACATCTGCAAATAGGAAATTAAATTAAGGATGAAAATTTGCCTTTAAAACTATTAAACTTTTCCATGCCAAACAGTTATGGAGTAGTCCCTCCAAAAGCATAGATGAAGCAGTGTTAGCTGCTGAATTCAGATGAATAAGAATACAGTGAGACAGACAGAGAGAATCTAAGCTCTTGGGTCACAGTTAGGGGCAGGTCTTTCATATTCTTTCTGGAGCCAGAATGCCTTGATTAGACACCCCAGCTACACCACTTCACCTCTCTGGTCCCCAGTGTCCTCCTACAAAATCGGATAATACTTTGTACTACTTCACAAGGTCATCTGAGGAGTAAATGAGTTAATCTATCTTAACTGCTTAGAACTGTACCTGGGACATAGTGGTATGTAAGTATCAGTAAGGACACCACTCCTCACTTATTGATATGGTTAGGTTCCAAAGACCAGGTCCTTATGCAAAAGATCAGAATTATGCAAAAATGGAGGGTAACCACATCAGATCACAAAATGGCAGATGACCACATTATTACAGAAGTGCCAAATTAAATCACTACATAACTGCCAAACCACCAAGCATGATGGCCTAGCCAAGTTGACATACAAGCTTAACCATCACAGCCAGCATTAGTTTCATTTCATACCTCAGCATTCGTACTGCTAGATGTATGTTATCAATACGCAAAATAGTTGTAGAGCAGATTTTTTTACTATTGTTGTAAGTGCAAAATGTCAGGTAACAAAATAATAAGTGAGGAGGAAGTGTATTGATACTAGGTCATTGCAGAGTCCCATCTCATATAGTCTTTGGGCTTGCTTGTTATTTCCTGATAACCTAATGACAAGTCTGTTGCATAGTTTAAAAAAAAAAACAAAAAACTGCCAATAATTGGTAAAGTGACTTCATTCGTTGCTATACCAAACCCCACTGCCATCAAGTTGATTCCAACTCATAGTGACCCTATAGGACCGAGTAGAACTTCCCAGGGGGTTTCCAAGGCTGTGGAGCAGACTGCCTCACCTTTCTCCCACGGAGGAGCTGGCAGGTTTGAATCACCAACCTTTTGGTTAGCAGCTGAATGCTTTAACTACTGAACCACCAGAACTCCTTGTTCATTTCTACAGCATATGGCAAATCAAGCAGTGAACCAAGGATGAGTAAGGAAGGGAAGGTCTAAGGAAACAGAAAGGCCTTACTGGGGAGTCTTTGTCTTTCTTAAGAAAAGAAGATAAAATGTGATGATTTTGTGGTGAGTGGGAGGGACACACAGAGCTGAGAGGCTGGGACAAAACCCAGTTTTGTGCCTGCAAAGGGTTTGAAGCCCAGGAGCCAAGAAATGTGTGGGTCAGGAAAAAGCAGAAACTAGTACCCAGGGAAAATCAGGGCTGATGTGTCCCCTTTGAATTAGGAATTAATTCAAACAAATACCATCAAAATCTGCTCTGGAAAATAAGAGAGTGTCAATATTGGATGGAGCTGTAGAGTATGACACATTCATGTTTCAATACTTTGAGCATGTCCCAACCACATCTAACAGGCTGAATATTTACGAGAAATTACAATCAGCTGAACCAAATGCCTATAAGGCCTTACTCTCAAAGGGGCAGAGGTCATTTCTGCTAGGCAAACACTGGGTTGTCAGCCGAGATTTATAACATGACTATATTTTATAAATTACTCTCTGGGGTGTGCAGGACTTCATACATGCATGGATGAACATTTATTTTTTCTTGGTGTATGTAAAGTGATATGTGCAAGTACACACACTTTTTAAAGGAGAGAGAACAAAACAAACATGAGGACAACATCAACAGTGTGAACCATCCAAGCAGATTTCATGAGGTATGTATACATACACTTAAGCCAACAGATCCTCACAACACAAACACCACCTTTTTATTTGCCATTTCCACATATTACCAAATTTCCTCACCAGATACACGGTGCTGTATTCCCGAAAGGCAGGTTTACTTTTCCTGTGCCATATTTCCCAGACATCCTTAAAAAACTGATTCTATTACAATATTCCCAGTTAATTATGAAAATGATAAAACAAAGGTGATTTTTTTTAAAAGGACAAAAAACAAAACAAAACAAAACAAAAACCCAGCATAAGAAAAGCACACTATTGAGAACATCTTCTACTCTAAAGTAACTTTTCCCATTCATTTATTCAAGAAATATTTGCTGTCACCTACTGTGTGCCAGTACTTTTGTTCTAGACACTGGGGATACATCGCTGGCCAAAACAGACAAAATCCCCTCCTTTGTGGAGCTTATACTCTAATGAAAAGAGATAGGCAATAAACAAATACGTGAGTATGTGTATGGGGGGGGGTGAGTGTACATATATGCAGCAGATGAAGGTGGTGAGAGCAGCAATCTTAAACATGATGGCTAGAGAAGGCCTCATTGAGAAACTGATATTTGAGAGCCCTGACGTTGCCAACGGAGTGAGCCATGTGGACATCTAGTAGGAGACCATTCCAGAAAGAGGGAACAGTGAGTGCAAAAACCTGAGGCAGGAACAGAAAAACAGAGATGTCTGAGAGGGAGTGGTGGGTCAGAGAGTAAGTGGAGTGCAGCAGCACAGTGACAGATGGCATAGGGCCTTGTCACCAGGTGTTGTAAAGACCTTGTACGGCTTTTACTCTGACTGAGCTGGGAGCCATCAAAGAGTTTTGAGTTGAGCAGGAACAAAATCTGACTTATGTTTTAAAAGAATCCCTCTGTCTGCTGAGCTGCAGTGGATCAAGTGTGACAGCAGAAGGCTTTTGCCATAATCCATGCAAGAGATGATGGCGGCTTAGACCAGTGGGTGGTGATAGAGATTTTGGAAGGTTAAGTGCCAGGATTTGCTGATGGTTTAGATGCAGAGTGTGACAAAGAGAGGCACTGAAAATGATTCTAGGGTTTAGGGCATAAACAAAGTAGAAAACAGAAATTGATGTAAAAAATGGGAGGGGGGGGAGTGTTATCTGAACACAATATCTACCTGAGTTACACTCCTCGGAAGGAAGGTTGGGCAATCCTACTTCCGTAGTGATACTGC